GGTTGTGTTGATTTAACGATTTGCAATAATTAACCTAGAATATTTGTAGAGAAAGACGAAGGAGAGTTGAGTTTAAAAATTGGTAGGATAGCTAGTTTGTTATTGTTCTCTTTTTTTTACTTGAATTCTGACTTGCCCGAGGACGGGCAAGGTTTAAGTGTGGGGGGATTTGATGAGAATAAAATTTGGCATATCTTTATCCCTCAATATTTAGTATTTTGCACTTAATTGGTACCAAATTGGACTCATTACTCTTGTATTTCGATTCAGGGCAAGCAGATAGGCGATTATAAGAAAACAAGGCTAATCAGATGTCTTTGCAAAGTTTCGGCACCGATCAGTGATATGGGCATAACTCTCAATTCCGGATTCCGATTTGGACATTTCAAGAAGAACTAGAAAGATAAGGAAAAGGCCCACAACTTTTATGTTTTGGGTTTTGGCAGAATCATTCCGCATCGAAGACGAATTCGGGCCCAAAGTCGGAGCAATTTCGTAGCAAGGCCCATTTCACAAGCTGATGCCCATTTCGCAGAAGAGTCTTGAAGCAAGCCCGAATTGTTAAAGAAACCTAGTTTGAATTCAAGATCCAAGAGTCCCATTAGAATAGAAGTTGAATGTAATCTCATCACTATCTGCAAATTATTAACCCAGAGAAAGACTATTTATCTTTGGTTGGGTTCGACACCCACCAGTATTGACCGAATCACAAGGTTGGTCCTTTGGATTTTCAAACTATAGAAGATCTTCCCACTTGTGAGCCTTGCCTTCGTGGTAAGATGACAAAACGGCCATTCGGCGGCAAGCCTGAAAGATGTACGGGTACACTTGACCTTATACATAGTGATGTATGCGGGCCCCTGAATGTTAGGAGTCGTAACCAACACGTATACTTCATCACCTTCACCGATGATTATTCGCGGTATGGTTACGTGTACCGAATAAGACACAAGTCTGAATCCTTTGAAAAGTTCAAGGAGTTTAGACAAGAGGTCGAGAAACAGTTGGGGAGAGAAATTAAGACCCTTCGATCCGATCGAGGTGGCGAGTATCTCTCTGACAAATTCAGAGACTACCTGAACGTCAATGGGATAGAATCA